TCTGGATTCAGATGTTAAACTGGTTAAACACAAAGCAAAACTGGTTAAACACGTGTACGTTCCGGTGGAAAGAAAAGAGTGGCGGGATGGCCGGTATCCTGCAAGCTCTGGAATTTCAAGGACGACTTTGCAAAAGAGTCAAGGGTGTCGAAATAGAACCACCAGCATAAAAGGAATAATTGGGAATTTTCCCATTGACATCAAAAGATGGACTAGTTGAAGGCTGGCTTCTCCGTTAGTAAAAATTACAAGGGTCCATAAGCACGTAATAACTTTTGGTTGTGTCTGCCTGGAGCAATCTTGTAGCAGGAACTGGTATTCAGATAAAGCTGTTATCTAGGCATAGTTTTCTCCTCCTTAGGTTGCTCAAAAATATATGTTTGTTGGGGTAGTGGAACAGCAATAAGAAATTTTCTAAATAACAAATGCAGCTTTCTGGGAGCAGTCTTTGTAGTAAGATATGAAACTACTACAAAACTCTCATATGCAAATGTTAAAATTACCGGAAGAAGTCTTTCAGTTCAACAGTTATTAAAAATGTGTTGCAATTAGAATACATTTGTTATTTTATAGTGTGCATAAATCATAATGCATTCCTCAACCTGGTTTTATTTTCTTGGCTTCTTACCTGGTTTTTTTTTTTGGGGGGCTTTTTTTTTTTTTTTTTTTTTTTTTTTTGCAATGGCTCTTTCCATCTCCAGTCATACCAATGAAAGTCATTTCTCGGGGACGCTCTAAGTCTTGAATATCGTTACACGCTGCATCTCCTTTCGGTTGCGGCCTCTTTGTCTAACCTAAGAAAGCTTTTACCAGTATGTATAATAAACGCAAACAACATTAGTCTTCCCACCTACTTTGGCAGCGTATAATTTTGGCTCCTACCCGTCCCTCGGTAGATCTCATGGGAGAACATTCGTTCTGAGGAATATGGGGCACTCTGAAGGGTCGCTTCTGAATCCAGTCAACTCTGTCCCAGCTTTCTGTATCAGGCCATCATTTTCTGTGTTTAAACGTGTGCAAACTAGTTCTGGTTTGAAATCACCGAATGTTTCAACCCTGGGTCATCTGCAGTGGATAGCACAAAAGCTTTTTTTTTTTTTCATTGTAGTTATTTCACCATCTTGTTATTACACGCTACTTTTTGCTGTAAATAGTCTTTTATGCCAAAACGTGGGCCACGTCCATACCATACGCAACATTATGGTGAGGGCAACTCCAGCCACAGTTCCAGCTCAACGCCAGTAGAAGTGGTGCCAACTTCTCCATCGTGACATTCTCTGATTAATTGGCCTAAATACTCAAAGCGTCTTAAATTATTCAGGTGCGTAATATGTACTTAAAAGGATATTTTTCTTCTTCTCATTTATAACCGCCATCATCAATCTAGAGAGATAGAGCCCTGAGATTAAAATAATTAATTACTAGATGCTGTTAGCTACATCTTGGGAGGGACTGTTTGACTTGCTAGTGACCTCTTGTCTGTGAAAGCTCGTCTTCCTCTTCACACTTCCTATGATTCAGCTTCCCATCTCTTAAAATAATGTTAGTTTATTGTAAGGTCAGTTGTATCTTTTTCCCAGATAAGAAGATGCTTTAGATGCTGAGAGAGCACTGTTTAATTAAGACGGCTATTTTAGAATTGTGGGCTTTTCAGTTCAACTGTTTATTAGCAAATTCTATACAACCAAAGGTACATAGCAGAATGAATTAGATCTGAAATGCCTATGTGTGCTTGAACGGGAAAAGCTGTGTGATAAAAATACTTTTTTTTTTAAAATTGAAATAAGAAAATTTGGCACCTTGTTCATCCAGGAATTTAGATACTGAAATTTCGTTAAGATCTGTGATTTAATCTCTCTTCCTTCGTGTCTTCCACTAAATTCAAGGGAGGAAAACATACACGGTTATAAGCAAAGGAAGTGGCTTTGAAAGGAAAACACTGTTGTATTTCTTTTCTTTCAGAAGAAAAATGTTATTTCATTAAAGGCTGGGAAAATCTGTTTCCGTTATAGCTGTTCGTATCTCATTTAACTCATTTCCCAGCATTAGATTACTGAACCCGTGCCATTGCCGGTGCAAGATTTAGCTCTCATTCTGGCACGCGTAGCAGAACTGCAGGCTGAGACTCTGCTGGGGTAGTTTTATTAAAAAAAAAAAAAAAAAAAAAAAAAAAAAAAAAAAAAATCCTTTGCCTTCTTGCAGTCATAGCTACATCTTAGGCTTGCACTTCACAATATCACCGCTATTCTGTTGTGATGCCCTTTGTTGATCAGCAGCGCTTTCAGCTCGATTAAAAAAAATAATAATTCAGAGTACGAAAGATAAAATGTGAGCTGCTGAAAAACTATCTGGCAAATTTTAGAGGAACTGTTCCATGAAGAAGAAGCATTCCTTTTGCAGTCCCGTCTTTTACATTTGAATGCTGGTATGGAAGAAGTTACCGTACTGGCAAAAGCTATGTGACACATGAGTTGGGCAATGGTAACGCCTCATCTGTGCCGCTTTTAGAGTCGCGCCCAATTAAACGATGGCTGGTTTGAACAGATGGGTTCTGAAATCAGAGAATAACCAAGGCAATTGGGGGGAAAAAAGGTAGTGGTTATCTCAAGGGTAGGAGCATCAATGGATATTCTGGGTTCTCAACTCCAGGTATTACCTGAATGTATTAACATGATGAGCCGCCAGTCAATTAAGAGCTTATTAATGAGGAAGAATTAACAAGCCATCAGCGTTTTACCAATTATTGAAACAGCGGTTGGACAAACACCGTCTCACGGCTCCGAAGTTTGTAAATGGCATTAACACTGTCAGGTAACCCTGAAGACTGCCATATTGGCCAGTTCTTTCTTAATGCTGATTTTACGTGCAATAATAATACGGGATTCAATTTAACGTGAAAGCTTTTATACCTGCTAACCATTTGAGTTTCTTGATTTATATAAAGTGTGCAAGTTAATGGTGGGTTTTGCTCACCTCCTGATCAGGGCCAACCTCCTCGAAACTTAGACCTCTGTAAATTTTGTCCATGAAATCAAAGCAGTGTGTCCCAGAGTTAATGCTTGAAAGGTAAGTTTAAAAGGGTTATTAGTATGCAGATACACACTTGAACACACATACAAACCAAAAATGTTCAATTAAGGTGCAAAACTACTGTTTGGTGGTTGTACATCAGTTTTGAATTCTGGTTTTGCTGTCGTTCAGTTAATAAACTGTATTTAACAGATGAGAATTGTTCCGTTGACCTTGTTGCTGGGCTCCGTTCTCCCGCAGAGATATCTGTGATTATGGGCAGGCTGGGTTGTCCACCTTATGTGGAGGTGGAGAGGAAAGAGCCAACCTGCAGGAATAATTTTACTATAGACATGACTTCAAACAAGTATTTGGATGATTTGGATAACTTTATTATGAAAGCAGTCTTCTGAAAACTGAAGCCTCCTACTCCCCCGTCTTTCCTTCTAAAGCACGAATCTGGTTTTCGGCAGCAAATTTGAATACGTGGAGAAATTCCTAGGGGTTTGGTACAGCGTATGATTGCGACACTAAGCCTCACGGTTTATTTTTGCACATCTCTCTGAAATGTCTTTGGGGAACAGGCGTGTGCTAGGTGCGACAAGCGACGCGGTATGTCGTGAGACAGGGAAAAAGGCAACCAGAGCCAGGACAGAGGAACCAGAAGGGAAGGTTTCTGACTCTTTGAATAAAATACTAATTTCTGCATACGATTTAATTACTGAGATTCCCTGAGCTACGTGTTTCAAATTCAGGCAAAATTCTGTTATTGCAATTAGCAAGAAGTTGAACCCACAGCCTCTCAGTCATTTTTTTAAAAAAAAAATATTGTGTATTCACTCGATCATTTCTTATGTTTTCTTATGCCACGTCTGACAATTAGGTACTTATAAAGAACACATTTGTGTTCTGCTCTGAGTGTACTTAAGGGTATAGTGATTTTTTTCACACTGTAGTTTATTTATAGCGCCCTGAAAATTCTCATTTCTGCCTGGAATTATTTATCCTCAGTCAAAAGTTAAAGAAGAAGAAGTTAAGTTAAAAGATAGGAGCTTTTCATAAGGTTCAACAACACCAAATGTTCCTCACAAATCAATGGTGTGTATTAGAATTGCATTGCAAACAGAGTTTTTTTAAAAAAAGGAGTTATCAAAGACTTGTAGTGCGCTCTCACTGTGTATGTTTTGGAAGTTGAGGGTGTTTTATAGTTGCTGTTGTCCTTCTCTTTGATCAGTGTTTGGTGTCTGTCAAACTGCAAGTAAACAGTCCAGATTCAATCGCGATGGTAGTGAAAAGAAAAATTCCCTGTGGAGCAGTCAAAAGTTAACGTTAACTACTGTTAGCGGCGCGTTTTCGTAGAGCAGTTGCGATGTCTGAGTAGTAGGTTAGAAAAAGCTCGTTAAGTCTACAAATCGTGCGTTTGTCCCATATTACAAAATACCATCTAAGTATTCCTCAGATACCTGTGATTTCTGTACCGTATTCTAATAGCGTGTTGTTAACCTATGGAGTAGATTGCCCAGCCTTGGCGGCCACGTGTAAATAAAGCGAGGCGGCCACGTGAAAAAAAAGCGAGTCTTCATCCCGACCGCCCCGAAACGCGGGCGGCGTGTAGAGATGCCAGCCGAGACTTTGCAAATTAACACGTCAACATTGGAGTTTCCCAGACTGCAAACCTCTCGTGTTCAGGGGGTTGCCGGTAGCTGCTTGAAGGCGTACTCTTCTCTTGTAAACCTTTCTTTGTCGTATTGGTACAGTGCTTGCTTTTGAGCGTGATCTGTATACCTGTGTAAAACTCCTAAAAAAAAAAAAAAAAAAAAAAAATTTAAAAATCTCAGGGGTGTGTGCATAGGAAGAAATGGCATGATAAGTATACGGTGCAAAGGACTCTGGCTCTGTGGTTTTATCTTCTTTCTTGTAAAGAAAGTATTTGCAAAGGACAGCTTGTTGGCAGTTGGTCTTCGCTGGTTGACAAACTAGTAAAGACCAACATGCCGGCTTCTGTGCCGCTGAAATGCGTCGTGAATTCAACTGAAAATCTACATGTAAGGAAACAAAATATTTCATGAGATTACTGAATCCATTGGAAAAGCCCACGGATCAAAACATCATCGTTTGCTAGCATGGTAAGACTACAGAAGAGGGCTGCTGTTGAGTACTGAGGCAATTTTGTCAAAACGGATTTGAATTTGTAATGTGCTAAAGAGAGTAAATTGCTGAGATGGTAGTAGTGACAAAAATGCTTTTTAAAGACCTTGAAAGAATGGGGAAAAGGAGAAAGTACTGATGACCTACTGAAAAATTAGAGTTGACAAAACCAGGAAAGAAAATAGAGATATGAGCACTCCCGACTCCTAAGCTTTAAAACACGGTGTTGAATCTTTTGATTATTTCACGGAAGCTCTCCCTGGTATTTTTATGTGCATTTGGGTATGAAGCAGCTGAATTGCTACTTGGTGTCTTTTATTTGTGTGTTCGAGTTTGATTTAAATGAGAGGGTCGTGCAAGTCTGTGAGAAACTATTTTGAGATAGGGGAGGCCAGACCATGAAGAGATGGGTACAATTATATCCATCTAATAGGAGATCAGAGCGTGTTACAGTGAGAAAAGTCATAAAGACCCAACGATCACGTAGGGTCAGATTTTCAAAGGCACCTAAATAAAGCATCAAGATCTCATTGTGTTTCAGTGGGATTTTAGTAGTTCTATCCCTCTTCTATTCACGATCAAGCGTTGTTATTTCAGAGTGAGAACGTACACGGCAAGAGACGCTTCTGGAATAAAAGTGCCTGTACAGGGAGTTAATCATGAAGAGTTAATTCATTATGAACCTCTTGTCTGCACGAAGAGTTATTTTTCCGCATTGTGATCGATATTTGAGTGTACGTAATGCGTCTTGAAGTGGCGTGCATTGCAGTAATTTAATTTTGAGGTGACAAAAGCACGAATCAAGGAAACGGGACTCTATTTCGAAAGTGCTGCTTGCGTCTTCTTGGCCAGAAATAAATGGAATATAGTCGTGTGGTCTTAGCTACAGTCTGAGCTTCCAGCAATAATTGAGACTTGAACGTTTGTAGCCTTTCATGTTACTCTGCATGAAAGAAAAACAAGCGATGATTGATTCGTCCCTGATAAACCAGAAGTTGTCAGATGTTCATTTGTTGCGTCGTTCTCGCTTAACCTTTTAGAAGTATAAAAACATGATTGCGGTTTTGGCATGTTAAAAGGAGTAAAGCATGGAAAAAAATGCGGACAAAGAAGATAAAATGTGTGTCCTGTCGAGGGCAAAGACGCTTTCCTCATTTATTTCAAGTGTCTTGTGCTCAGCTATTTGTTCTTGGTTAATGGTTTTACCAAGACAGTTGATTTCTCCCCCCCAAGGGACAGTTAAACATTAAAATACAATTTTACTTCTTTATGTGCGCATATGCGTCGCAGGGGACAGTGCAGTGCTAATAGCCATCTTTCGTTCGTAAAAGGGATCTCTTTCAAGTACCTGTCAGAATCTGTCCTGTGTCAAGCCTCATCCAAGCCCTTGCCTGAAGTCATAAAGGGTTCCGTCGTCGTCAGCTCCTGCGCCACCTTCCCCTTCACCCTGCCGTGTCTTTAGAAAGATGGTCTGTTTTCTTACCAGTAGAAGATGTGGAAAATGTGCTGAAGTTGGCTGAAAGGAATTCAAAAGGCAATATTTTTTTTGTCTTGGCATGTGGCGCGGTTGTAAGAAGGGTTGTTTTGATGGCATCCATCTGTTGCAGGTTAAAGTAGGTTGGAATCGGGGATCGTGAAGTGAGTTAGCGCGGCGTGGTAAGTAGGGTGACTGAAATGAACGCGTTGGATTGGGTGACTGAAACCAAGTGCTTTGTCGATCGGTATCCATAGGCTGAAAGTGGGAGGCTTTTAGGATATTCTCACGCTGTCGGAGAATGGTTTTCACCCGGTGTTTGACGGGGGGGCGGAGTTAGGTGGGAGCCGTGCTCTGTCGGAGGCGGCTCAGTGGAACGCCAAGTACTAGTCGGATGGCGTGCGTGCCCTCCTGTGTGCATCTAAGCATCCCCACAAACACAGACTTTTATGGTTATTTATCTGCTTTTTGAAGCTCACTCCTGCTCTACTTATTTATTTTACGCATGAAAATCGTTACTGTCTCTGTGCGCGTTGCCCGATGCTTATTCTGTGTAATCGTTACTCCCGTTGCACGACTTTGTGGGGGTTTGTTTTTCTGGTGTCTGCAGTTGCGTTAGCAGCCGATTCACCTGTGTGGGGGTTCACATGTGGGCGAACATCAAAGTGTGTGCCGGTTTGCAACACCCAACGTGGTTCCACGTTGTACTTGTAGGTAATGGCAAGAGGGCTGAGGCATTTCACGTGCCCTTGCTCAACGGTACGTCCCTCAACCCCGCTGAAAAACGAAAAAGTGATCATAATATTTTTTTTCCCCTACTTATAAATGCCGATGGGTCTTTAAATGTGAATGTATAAATGCAGACGGTTTAGGAGCGAGCATGTTTACAACATTATCCTGGATTTAGAGACTCAGGCTTGAGCTCATCCGCTTTGCTCTATGGTTAGCTACGCTTGCAGTGCTGCCTGGTTTTGTGGGAAGTTTTTTTTTTTTCTGTCCTTTAGCATGCCCCACTTCTGTTTCACAGGTGATAAAATATAGCCATTGGACTTTTTTTTGCTCTCGGATATTGGTTTTTCTCTAGCGCGTACCTCTGCGTTAAGCCAATGTGGGTGCACGAATGTGGACCGTAGTCACGTAACTTTTTGTGCCAGGTATAAATCCAAAGCCAGTGTATGTTTTCTTAAGCAGCACAGGCAACAACAGGATTGGTCAATTATTTTCCAGAGTGTTGAGTATATATATATGTGTGTGTGTGTATATATGTGTCAAACCCCCCCCACCAGAAAAATCTGGCTAGCAAGTTGATGTATATATTTTTTCCTTCTTGCTAATATCAGTTACTATGATTTCTGTTTGGGGTTTTTTCCCCCTTTGGTTCTTGTTAAATTTTGAACTTCGGCAATTATTGCCCTATTTTGCTCACTCGGACAGGTCTGCAGTTCTTTTGTGCCAGTATTGCCTTGTTTAAGTATGTGTATGCTAATTAATGCAGATAGAATGCAAAGTCAGGTTTTTCACAATGTTATTCCCCTGCAGCATAACATGTAGAAACCTTTCACTGGGGATGAAGTTGTGCTGTCTTTTAAGTAGGAGCTAACCAGAGATTATTTTTTTTTCTTCTTATCTTTTTTCAGTCTGACAGCAATGCAAGCTTTCTCCGAGCTGCCAGAGCTGGCAATCTGGACAAAGTAGTGGAATACCTGAAAAGCGGAATAGACATTAACACATGTAATCAGGTAAGACATTTGCAAGAAATGAGCTGCAAGAAACCCCCCTCAAAACTGATTTTTTTTCCAGGTTAGATTGCTTCGTACAGATGTTTTTGTTCACCTCTGGCTATGTTTTCAGAAAAATCTTGTTCTTCATTGGTATCTTTCTGCAGGAAGTTGATAACGTCTATTAAATTGTGCTGCTTTTAGTAAAGCTTTGTGTAAGCGTTTTTGGGCTTTTCTTTCTTGCCAGTGTCCCGCAGGTATGCATATATGTTAGCAAAGCAGATATAATCGAAACTTAAGGTTTGCTTTGGTACTCTTAACAATAACGGACCTGCTGTTGTGAAGTTCCAGTAGTAATTGAACCGGTGAGCGCTAACTGTGGTTGTGTTCTTCAAAATACTCAAGTAGTTCTGGTAATTCCGGTTGGTTTCTTTGCGGAAAGGTACGGTTTAGATGCCCCGAGGCATCCGTGTTCAGCAAAACCAACTCGCTGCCGGTCTGCTTGGTTTGGTATTGCTGCGGGGGCGAGATGGAACTCTGCGGACCGGAGACTTGTTGAGCGGAGGTCAACCCGTTATCCCGTTTTCCTTCCCATACCCAGAGTCTCCCGTTCTGTTATTTGTCTGGAGGAGCGAGACGACGCTCAATGCTCATATTTTTTGCTCTGTTATTGCTGTTTATTTATTGTATGCGTTTATTAATTGTAACGAGGCACGCCCGTGTAACGGGTGTTCCTCATTTTAACCAAAGATGCGGCGCTCTCCAGAGAACTTGCATTGCAGAGAGGAGTTGGCGAGCAATAGGTATTACAACAAATTGAGAGAGGAGCAGAGGATGGCGGTGAGATGACTGTGATTAATAAATCCCACAGCATGCCAGCTGTCAGGTTTTGGTTTTGTGGGTGTGGGTTGTGGGGTTTTTTTTTTTTTTTCTTTTTAAAGCTGTTTTGAAGATATCTCTGTTTTTAGTTTAAAAGAAAGTTCCAGATTTCTTGCTGCAAACATTTGTCTCAAGGACAGCGTGGACCAGCATCCTTGGGGGAGCCAAGGAAGCAGTTGAAAGCCATGTATAAAAAATGGTATCCTTAGCTTCCATTGCTTAGAAGTTTTAAAGTGTGCTCGAATGAGTAAGAAAAGCGAAGCTGATAGAGACTAACCATGTTTTTCAGGCAACAGTTTGCAAAGATGTACGCAGTAGTGTTTGAGTGGATTTCAAAATCAAATTGCAGAACCTTTTTCGGTCAGCTAAAATGTTTCTTGTAAATATAATTTTTTTTTTTTTTTCCCGTATGAAGCGTATTATGGTTTTATTCAGTATTTATGTCCCCTGTAGCATGGGGACATTGTTGGAGTCTGGGGTTTCTCTCATACCTAGAGCAAGAGTTCTCTTCCAGGACACACTCTCATTCCTGTGACAGTAATATCAGTAATTTAAAAAAAAAGAAACTACAGGTCTAAATTTGTAACAACATTTTTACTGTTCTTAAAGAAATTATCCTGGCCCTATTTGCAACATGTTGATACATCTTTCTCCAAAATGAAGAAATCCAGGGCTTGTTATTGGTTGGCTTGCTTATTAAATTAATGTGAGTGCTGGGGAATGGGATAGCAATTGAATAGTTCGTACCAAAGAGAGTGGATGTTAGCGAAACAAATAGGTAAATTGACACATTATCTCTGGATTTTATTTTTTTTTTAAATTCAGATCAGTCAGTTAATATTTTAGTAAACAAATATTAGAACTAAAATATTATTTGCTTTGCTTTTGTATTATTTGTACTCAATACTCTATTAAAATTAGATTTTTCAATTTTTTTCTGTTTTGTGGTGAAAAGTATCACCTAAGTATCACTAAATAACCTAAAGACAGAAAAATGATGGGAAGTATGGGCTTTACTGAAGAAAGGAAAGATAATTCCATTGTGAATCTACTCTTCCCCTCGTCATTCACCTTACTTTTACATTTAAATTTAATCAAAAAATATTCCCTTTTTGACAGATGATGTTTCAGGTATAAGATGTGTAGAGCTACTCTGCCCTTTGGGAAATGGGTAGGGACGGAATATACTAGCACCGGAGAGTGGAAAAAATTGAAGTAAAAAGTACTGGTTTAGGTTTTGTAGGGAGAAAACACCCATATTGTCTGATCGCTCTTCAGATTAAGATCGGAAAAATCAAGATTTTCCTTCCTGTGTCCTGAGATACAGTTGTGGCTCTTAATGTCAATTGTGTGCAGGAGCTGAGCTGCTAGTTGCTGTGGATGCACCTATTACAAATAAATAAAATATTTAGGAAATAAAGCTGTATTTAGCTTTGAAATCAGTAAGGAAATTTATGTTATGGCTTCATTAAGCTGTGACAGCTAGTAAATTGTTCTCCAGGGCAGCTAGAAGGAAGAAGGCAGTTGAAACAGCATTTCTAATTTTTTTTTTTTTTTAAAACTAAGGTGAAAGGTACACCTTCTTCAAGTCAGTCCTCAGTCTGAAAGCTTGAGTTATTTTCTGCTCCGACAGGAACATGGGCTTTAGAAGCCGTGTATTTCTTTGGGGAGCAGAGAAATGCTACGAAAGCGTGGGTTTTCCTTGGTAGCAAGAGCAATAAAATCCCACGTGGAATTGTAAGTCTTCCTTTTTTTCTGAAAGAACTTTGACGAAGTCGTTGGGCAGTGCCGATGGCAAATTCCCAAGTCTCTGGCATTTGGGTCGCAATTACTGTATCTCTGAACCCACAGTGAAGAAATTAACCTTTTGGTTTCTTCTTTGATAGCTGGAAACCACTTGTATGAAAATGATTAGTAAAGTACTTCAGAAAGCTCTGAGAGGATTAATTCGAAGGGGCAGAAAGAGTTGTAATGACTTTTTCAAAGGTGGTATTTGTGTATCTTCATCTTTTGGCTTACTTGTGGTATACCCTAAACCTATTTTTATTACAAGAAAGAGCTTTCTATGGTTTTAACCAGCCTCTCTTGCATTTCTGGTGCATCTTGGACTCGAGTGGTTCAGTTCTAATGAAGACTTCCTTGGTCTGTTGGTTATTTAATGCCCAAATCCCACCTTGACCTTCATAAAATTTTAGAAGGACTTTTCCGCAACTGCGTAGTTAGCGCATGACCTCATGTATCTTCAGTGGGTTCTAAAATGCTTGTTCGTTTTGAAGTTCAAAGGAGGCAGGAGGAGGTTTAGCGCTTTGAAGTGCCAGTCTCCTCCCTTAGGAGCAGTTCCTGGAACCGTGGAGGTGGCCGTTTCACCAAGAACAACATCAAACCCAAATTCAAAACGTGCGTTGCCGTAGTAGAAAGACCATAGGGAAGTTTGGGTGTTATAGAAATATTATATACTGCTTTATCACACCGAACGCAGTACGGCCGGCCGGTTGATGTTCACCATCCCACACGAAGCACCTGATCCCCTGTGATCTGAGGTGTGGAAGTCTGAGGTTTCCCCTGCTATTTTTGTGAGATCTCAGCTGGTAAGTAAGCCTTCGGTGGGTGGTATTTTTAGCCGACTAGCTAACTTGTGTCCAAGCAGATTAAAACCTCATAGCTCGCTTGCATTAGCGATGCAATTTTGATTACCCTCTGACGGTTAGAGAGTAGCTGTGGTTTATACCTCGTTTCGGAAAACCGTAAACTTAAACACGTTTTTATCACCGGTCAATCTTATCTATGACATAAATTGCTTTACGTATTGTTATAAAAAGGTACTTAAATTTTCTGCTTAAAATACTGCCTCCCTTTGCAGGAAAGTTATTACTGCTGTAAAAAGACACTGTTAAAGTTTCACCATTGATATGACTGTAATGCGATAGAATGTTTTAGCCTGGCTCCTTTGTAAGTCCGTCATATAAATCCAATTACTTTTGCTTCTTAGCCTAGGGACCTGCATTTGCAATGCTTATTTAAGTGACTAGAGCCATCAAATTTAATAGGACTGTAACCGTGACTTAAAATAAATACGCAAGTAAGTGTCTGCATCGGTCTTGAAGAACGTCTTGATGTTCTAGTGAAATCAATGGCATTTCTTTGAAAGGAGACGTGAAAGCTCAGGCTGTATGGTCTCTAACTTCCCCTAACTCTTAGCCAGATTTAATTTAAATGACTACTAACCAGGCAATGGCTATGAATTTTGAAAGTAAAATCACTTAAAGGTTGTTTTTAAACAACGTTAAAATCAGTAAACGGTTCGATAGAATTGTCACACAAGCTCAACTCGTGCATCATGAGATGGGCTAAAATTTCAGTGCACCATCTCAACAGAAACGTCAAAGACTATTCACCTTCACCGACGACAGCGTGAGGTTCGGCTGGTTGGCGGCACAGTTTATTCCGTTCAGCTCCAGCGGTGGAAGAGCCGTAACGAGGAGGAGTTTGTGGTAGAAAGGTGCAGGTATCCCCGGGAAGTTTGGGAGCAGAGGAGACCCTGAACACGCCGCACGTTGACTGCGGTGTCTGTCTTGGGGAAGGGTTCTGCGAATAACAGCTGTTAATGGGAGGTGTCGTCAGTGTGGCACCCCTGGTCGGACTCCCATATCCCTGCACCTAACAATTAGAAGAAAAACTCCCGTGATTTGGCTGCGTTTGGGCACATAACGAGCACGCCTAGGCTGTCAAATGACTTGCCTCCCCAGTTGCCCCCCCCCCCCCGAGTCCTGGTTTCCCTAATCACCCGCACTGCCCGGCTATCAGTTGGCTCTCGGGCTCCTCCAGCAGCTGGTTTTCTCCGGGATGCGGCCTGGGAGCGGTTCGGGGGATGCTCAGTGCAGGGGACCGCTCCTCACGCAGCAGGGAAGCCCTGCGCTAGTGGTGCTGCTCCTCTTGCTGTTCTCAAGATCTCCGAGTCCTTAATCCTGTGGAAAATTAGCTATGTGTTCAATTTTAAAACTGCATTTTAATTTAAGTACGTTAAATTTACAATTTAATTTAAGCGTGCAGCAAAATGCTAGTCTGAAGAAGGCTGTTTTCCTGAACTGGAGCTTTATACTATCCAAATGTTATCTATACCAAGAAAGCCTCCATAAAATTCC